TGGACATTATTGCATTATGCCCCTTAGAAGTCCCTCCCCTCCCCCAAACCTGCCCTCTTTAGGCTCCCCCCCCCAAATCTCCAAGTATTTCCCGTGAAAAGTACTGGGTTCGCTGCATGGAGGACTTGGACAACGACATGCACTTGCTCACGTTTATTGTACTTAACACTGGAACTGCAAACTGGCCCTGCAAGGCCAACTATATACACACCCACGCAGCACACCCACAGTCCGATTGGAGGGTTTGAATTTCCCGCCAAAGTTTCTATTGGTTCATGCTGGGGGAACTAGGATCCTAGGTTCCTATTGTCTAGAGGAGCTAAGCTCTTGACCATAGCCATGGACCGCCACATAACACCCCTCCCCCCATAGTTCCGGCCCAACATACGTAATATAGTCCTTTAAATAAGCGGGGGGGGGGGGTCACCGCTCTCTGACGGAACGCCGGGGGGCTGGTACCGGGTCACTGGCTACAGGTTCCGGTTGCCTATCTGTGACCTGGGGCTGGAGCGCCTGTTGTGGCAGCTGAAGTGTCTCTGGTTCCATTGGTTCTGGGGGTGGTTCCCTGGAAGAGGCCTGCTCGATGCTCGGGGCTTCAGGCTGACTACTGGGCTCAGGTATGTAGGTGCCGGTTCCTGCTGCCAATAGTGTTGGTTCTTCTGCCTCTGGGAGCTGTCACCGCCTCAGTTGGTCCAAGTGCTTCTTTAAGAGCCTGCCATCTTCTGTCGATACCTCGTAAGATACCGGCCCGTGACTTTGATCACTTGTCCCGCCAACCATGGATTTCCCATTCCGTAGTTCCGGATGAACAGTGGGTCACCCGGGAAGAACCCTCTCGGAGCCTCTCACTGTTCCACCATCCTCTTGGAGTCCAGGGCCCAGTCCGGGTGTAGTCGATCCAACAAGGTCGCTGGTCTTCGGCCCATCAATAATTCCGCAGGGCTGTGGCCGGTGACGGGGTTAGGTGTCGTCCTCTGGGTCGTAACTCCCAGTCCCTATCCGTTATCCTGCTGAGGGCTTCCTTCGCGGTCCACACCATCCTCTCGGCCTGGCTGTTGGTTACAGGGTGGAAGGGTACAGATCAGATGTGCTGTATCAGGTTCCTTTGGAGGAATTCCTAGAACTCTGCTGATGTGAAGGTTGCCCCATTGTCAGAGACTATCGTGTCCGGCAGCCCGTGTGTAGCAAAGATCCGGCGGAGGGGCCGGATCAAGGCCTTCGTAGAAGTTGTTGACACGGGACTGATCTCCGGTCACTTCGAGTAGGAGTCAACCATTACTAAGAACAACAGTCCCTGGAATGGTCCAGCGAAATTGATGTGAAGCTGGGACCATGGTTTGCGGGTTGACTCCCACGGCTGTGTTGGTGCACTTGGCAGGTTAGGCCAAACTTCCTGGCAGGTTTGGCACCTCTGGACCCAGGACTCGATCTCGGCATCAATTCCTGGCCACCACACATAGCTCTGGGCCAGTGCCTTCATTCTTATGATGCCTGGATGCGCCTCGTGGAAGGCCATGAGTACCCGCTGTCTCAGGGTGCTGGGGACCATGACTCGGTCTCCCCACAGAAGACACCCCTCCAGGGCCGAGAGTTCATCTTTCCGGGTACTGAAAGCCGCAAACTCGGAGCCTGGGGTTGACGTAGGCCAACCCCTCACCACCCAGCCCAAGACCCAGGAGAGGAGGGGGTCGCGGGCTGACTGGGCAGCGATGTCGGCAGCTTGCAGAGGAGGCTCCAGAAGACTTTAGATGAGCAGAACCCCAGGCGCAGGAGCGGGATCGGTGTCTGCGACTGGCAGCGATAGCCAGCTCAGTGCGTCGGCATGACTCATAGCCTTGCCCGGGCAGTGCTCCAGGCAGTACTGGCAGCCAGCCAGAAAAAGGGACCATCTGAGGACCTGGGGTGACATGACTTGGGGCATTTGTTTGTCGGCAGCAAAGAGGCCTAGGAGGGGCTTATGGTCCATAGTGATTGTGAAAGGGTGCCCGTAAAGAAAGTTGTGAAACTTCTTGACCCCTGCAACGATCGCCAAGCCCTCTCTGTCGATTTGTACATAATTGTGCTCCGAGGACGTTAAGGTCCTGGAGTAATAGGCCAGGGGAACCTCACAGCCGTCAGGGAGGATGTGGCCTAGGACTGCGCCAATGCCGTAGGGAGAGGTGTCACATGCAAGGACCACCGGCAGGGATTCATCAAAGTGGGCCAGCACATTGTTGGAAATCAAAAGCGCTTTCATCCCCCAGAACGCCGCCACTTCCTTCGGGCCCCAGGACCAAGGAGCCGACTTATCCAGGGGTCGGTGGAGGGGCTCTGCCACTGCGGCCTTGTGCGGTAGAAAGGCGTGGTAAAAATTAATTAGTCCCAAGAATGCCTGTAGCTCTGCTTTACAAGTGGGTGCAGGGCCTCCACGATGGCCTTCACTTTGTCTTTAGCCGGATGTAGGCAGGCAGCGTCTACACAGAACCCCAGGAAGTCAACTTCGGAAACCCCGAGAAGACATTTCTCCCATTTCACTTTGAGGCCAGCCAAGTCAAAGCGTTGCAGGACGGCGCGGAGGTGGGGGGCAAAGTCGTCAGGGGATGCAGTGACAATAAGGACGTCGTCAAAAAACGGCGTCATTCCAGGGATCCCTTTTAACAATGAATCCATTAATTGTTGGAAGATCCCCAGGGATACGCTTATGCTGAATTTTAGCCTCTTTACCTTAAAAGCCCCCCTGTGCATGACTATCGTTTGTGCTGTAGCCATGGCTTCGTCCACCGGCAACTGTTGATAGGTCTGAGCCAAATCTAGTTTGCTGAAAATCTTAGCCCCCGCCAAAGAGGCCAGCACATGACTTATGACCGGGACAACGTAGGAGTGGTTGTGGCCTTATTAATTGTGGCCTTATTAATTGTGGCCTTATTCGCCTGGGGCCTTATTATTGTGCATTTGTAGTTCGCACAGATGCGGACTTTGCCATTGAGTTTAAGTGGGGTTACAATTGGTGTTTCCTACATGGTGTGTGATACTGGCTCTAAGACCCCTTGCGCCCCTAAATGGTCCAGCTCCGCATCAATTTTAGACTGTATTGCCAGCGGAGCGGTGCAGAATTGCATGTGGATAGGGGCCACTGTGGGGTCTAGCTGTAAGGAAACTAAGGGCCCTTTATAACACCCTAAAGCCCCATCGAAAATGGCGGGAAACTCCCCGCAAACCTCTGCAAAATCCCTAGTAACAACACCCCCCCAATCGTGATGCCCAGTGGAGCAAACCAGGCCCAGCCCAGCAAACTGACCAGATTTCCCTCCACCACAATCAAGTCCAACAGTCCCTCAAAACCCCGGTACTGTACCCTGAAAGTCCCCACTCCCCAGATAGGAACTGGGTTCCTTTGGAAGTCCACCAAACACAAAGGGAAGGGGCGTACGTGGGGTCCCCCATTGGGGCAAAGTTTATGTAGTGTGTCCACCAAAATGATGGATGCCGCCAACCCTGAGTGACTCCACTTCCATAGGGCAGGGGGAACCCTCGATCCAGACAGTTACTTGGATCTTCGGGGTAGCAGATAGGTTGGGGAGGCGTAATACCTGGAGAGATGGCTGGTCGGTGAGGAGGTAGAGTTCCAAAGTTTCCGCTGCTGTCTCATAGGTGGCAGCAGTCTGGCGTCGGGGCTGGGCTGTAAGCTGCTGGTGTCGGTTTCCCTTGGACCAGCAGACGTGGGCGAGGTGACCCTGCTTTCCATATGTGTGACACGTAACGTTGCAGAATCAGCAGGACTTACGCTCGTGCGCCTCTCTGGAGCTGGCGTACATGGAACAGCCGGCAGTTGTTCCGGAGGATCCTGATGCTGCAGGTCCCGGTGGCTTATGGCGGGAGGGCAGACGGACAAGACGAATGTCCTCCTCATCAGAGTTCTTGGGCGCCGAGTCGGGGAGCACAAGATGAGACGCAGACGAGGGACGGTCGCGGTGGGAGGCCTCATGTGCGATGGCGAGTTGGAGGGTCTCCTCGATCTTTATGTCGGCGGTACCGATCATCTTCCTCCGCAGCTTTATGTCACTGATGCCCCAGGCGAATTGCGTTAGGAGGTTCTCCTCCACCTTGGTGAAGGCACGGTCCATAGCAAGCTGGTGCAGGGCTGCCATGAAAGCAGCGGCCGACTCACCCGGTTTCTGGACGCGGCCCTGGAACTCTATCCGCCTGGCGAGTGTAGTTGGCCGGGGCATGAGGTACCTCGTCAGGGAGTTGATGATTTCCTCGTAAGAACACTCGAGGATCGCCCGGGGTGCAAGGAGGCTCTTTATGAGGCGGACTGTGTCCATGCCACAGGAGCTGAGGAGAAGGGCCCGGCGTTTGCCTGGATCAGTTACCTCATTGTAGGCGAGGTGGCAGGTCAGTTGGTCTGTCCATGAGTCCCAGAGTTTGGGATGGGCTGGATCGAAGATCTCCAGATTTCCTCGAGCGGAGGCCATGGCTTTGGCACGGAATGGGGAGCGGTGTCCTTGATGCGGTGCGCAATGCGGTGCTGCTTGGGAGCGATGCAGGGTGCGGTTGCGTCAGCTGGATCGAAGCTCGGTGCTGCGCTGGGATGCGAGCCAGGCCTGGCTCAGCGGGATCCCATCCTCGTCGCCACTGAAAAGTACTGGGTTCGCCACATGGAGGACTTGGACAATGACATGCGCTTGCACACATTTATTGTACTTAACACTGGAACTGCAAACCGGCCCTGCAAGGCCAATTATATACACACCCACCCAGCACACCCACAATCCCATTGGAGGGTTTGAATTTCCTGCCAAAGTTTCTATTGGTTCATGCTGGGGGAACTAGGATCCTAGGTTCCTAGAGGAGCAAAGCTCTTGACCATAGCCGCGGACCCCTGGTGGCGGTTCACGTACATAACATCCCGGTCCCAAGCTGGCAACCTTAGACAGTAACCTCAGGAAGAGTATAGGATGCTGGGTACAGAAGGAGACAATCCCTTATGTGGGTTTTGAAAGAGCTTGCCGAATGCAGATTTATTGTTTGTACAATTCCGATTCTGAACCCATCACGCTCGGAATGATGCACAGTAATTTGATTGCTTTCAGCCCACACTGCGAGATGCGGTAATAGGAATCAAAGCACTGCAGAAATTAAGAGAGGGGAGCCGCTTCATAACCAGGGTAATGTGCAAATGCATTTCATCTATCTGACTTGATTAATACCCGTGCAATTTATATATATTTGGGGGGCAAAGGGGGATGATTGATAAAGAACTGTGCGTGTTGTAAGTTACAATTTTTATAAGCTTTAAAATGCAGCATCCCATTAATGAGTTATTTATGGGATTGTTACCATCTCTTTTTGTAACGCAGTAACACTACTGTGGGGACCAATGAGAGGAGGAATTGCTCAGTTTCATATTTCCTTGATTTTTCTTTTGGCATTTATGTTCTCTGAGAGCTATGCCTTAATTTTGCAATTTTTTTTCCCCAGAGAGGGGGATTTGCCACTGAATTAATCCAGCAAGTTTATGCACAATCAGGTAATTGCTAGTATCAGCTATCACCTGCACCATCCAGTCCCCATAATAAGTCTCTTATAATAATTGGGTCCATGTGTTTTATAATGCTCAACACTAATTGGTTGTTAGCACCTGGATGTTCCGGTCAGCTGCACTTGACCTTATTGTCATTGCTGGAGGCCAGCGGGAGAAACTCACCTAGCCCCTGAGATGTCAGAGAGGGAATGAATTGCAGACTCTCTCCTGGAGCTCAAGACAGAGGGTGGTGTTCTACCACTCTAAGGTGTCATTTTCCCCACGTTCGTCTGCTTTCTGACCTCTGGAAAGATCCGCTAGAGAGTTGAACATGGAGGAACTTCTATTCAGCTCGAAGAGATGGGTGGACTGAGGAAGGATGAAGACCTAAAATAGTCCTTCCTTTCTCTTCCACAAAGATGGTGGTGGAAAGTGCCATCAAGACAACTGATGACAACCTGTATTTTTATCTGAAGAAGTGTGCATGCACACAAAACCTTATACCTTTAATAAAACTTTTTTGGTCTTAAAGGTGCCACTGGACTCAGACTTTGTTCTTATGATGACCTTGTAAGGTTTTCAAGGCATGGGTCATTCAGAGGTAGTTTGCCATTGTCTGCCTCTATGTTGCGACCCTCTTCTTTGGTGGACTTCCATCCACATACTAAGCAGGAGGGATCAATTTCATTTCCTTGTCTATCCTCCCACCAGCTCAACAACCTGACCAGCCCTATGTGGATTCTGCAGTGCCAGGAATGATCTTTACAAGAAACAGTTGCAGTGATGTAGGGAAACTGTGTGCCTTCCAATGTTCCCTCTAAGCTGAGTTAGTGTGAGCTAGCTCACAGTTTCTTAGCCTCCGGCTCACACATTTTTGTCTCAGCTCAGGAAAGATGGCTCCAGAGCAAGCTAATTGATGCAGTAGCCAAATCGCTCGCTCACAACTTTAATGCCAGCAGCTCACAAAGCAGAATTTCTGCTCACAAGACTCCACAGCTTAGAGGGAACATTGGTGCCTTCTGCACATGGATGCCCATTTGCAGAACTGGACTTTGCCAAGTCGGTTTTGGAGTTTGTTTTGTTGACAGACCTGAATTTTCAGCTTTGCTGTTTTGACTTCAAAATCTCCATCTCATTTTAACGTTTCCTTTGAGCAAATCAAAACAAGCAACCTTGATTCTCAGTCCATTTCCTGCATTAGACCTTACGATGGAAATGCAAACTAACTTGGCACGATCCCTCTTGTGCAAACAACAGTGCTAGCTATACTGCAATACCTGTCTTTCTTTTTCATCAATTAATTACTCACCCAATCTCTTGTGCAAGTAGAAATGCAAATTGGAATTTTAATAAGTTTTAACTTTGTGCAAGCTGCCAGTGGAGTCTTATGAGTAAATTTCTGCTTGCACAAGGGTTCTAGTACACGTGGAACTCTTCCTCTGGATCCAACCCTCCATTTCCTTGCACCAAATATTCCCAGTTACACTTACATGGTTTTTTTAAATGCCATTATTGCATCAACTGCATACAAATGATATATAATGTACAATCAAGTTTTAAAATGCCATAAAAGATGCACAGGAATTAGAAAGGCCAGCAATCCAGACAGAGAAAACATATAAGCTCAGAATGACAACAACAAATGAACAAGGTTAGGCTCGCGTATCCCTGATTGAGAGTCGCTATCATGAATCTGTAGTCTTGACTAGTTTGCATTAGCAGGGGACTTCTCGTAACATCATTCTTGGGGACAAAGTAGATCCAAAAGATATGTAGTTCGGATCCCAAGGTTAAAAGGAGCCAGTCAGGGGCTGAATTTGGATGGGTACTTTGGGGCAGGGGGGAGTTAATTCTTCCCTCCCATGACATATTCCTGATTTCATTCAGAATCTGCACATGACCCTGTGGGGGAAATTGTATAGGTACCCATACGACAGATGCTCCCTATGAGTCCCTAATTTGAATTGGTATATCTGTGGGAAATAATACACTGGGATGGGGATCCTAATCCCATCTTATCTATCTATCTATCTATCTATCTATCTATCTATCTATCTATCTATCTATCTATCATCTATCTATCTATCTATCTATCTATCTATCTATCTATCTATCTATCTATCTATCTTATTTAGAATGCTTTATGCTGCCTTTCCACTAAGGTAGCCAACCTCCAGGTGGGGCCTGGAGACCTCCCAGAATTACAACTGATGCCCAGATTATAGAGATCCATTCTCCCGCAGAAAAGGTCTGCTTCGGAGGCTGGGCTCTATGGCAACGTTCCCTTGTTGCAGTCTCTCCCCTCCTCCAACCCCGCCCTCCCCAGGCTCCACCCCCCAAATCTCCAGTTATTTCCCAACCCAGAGTTGGCAACCCTAATTTCCTCCCAATTTAGAGCCCCTATGGCAGCGACCAATCAAAACCATTTTTAAAAAAGCATTTAAAAATACATGCTATAAAAACAATTTAAAACACGAAATAAACAAAATCAGATAAACAGGAAGAAGGGTCAGTGAGGGAATGGCAAAGGAGTCAGATATCTTCACCTACTAGCAGAAGACAATGATTGAGGGGAATAGGCGGCTTTCCCTAAGAAGGGAAATCCATAATTGGGGTGTCCTGACCAAGGAGGCCCTTTCGCAGGTTGCCACCTATCCAGCCTCACACTACAAGGGCTTCAACAGAAAGGCCCCTGAAGATAACTATGGTGGTCAGGTAATATCATACAGAAGGAAATGCTCCTTAAGGTATGACTGTCAACTGCCATATCTGATTATGCATCCAAAGAAGTGAGGTCTATCTCGTGGAAGCTTAGACTGAAATAAACTTGATTAGTCTTAAAGGTGCCACTTGATTTCCATTTCATAGCTCTCATGGGTCATGTCTTTTTGACCCCCAAATATGCTTGTAGTGTTTGAGGGCAGTGTTCCCTTCTAAGCTGAGTTAGTGTGAGCTAGCTCACAGTTTTTCAGCCTCCGGCTCATAGATTTTTGTCTTAGCTCAGGAAGGATGGCTCCAGAGCAAACTAATTTATGCAGGAGCCACATCACCTGCTCACAACTTTAATTCTGGTAGCTCAGAAAGTAGAATTGTTGCTCACAGGACTCCACAGCTTAGAGGGAGCATTGTTTGAGGGGTAGTGAGTCCACTCTAAATATTTTTCAGTCTTTAACAAAAACAAAACTGCTCTTCAAGTTAAATAGTTGGTTAATGGCAAAGTTGACTAATTTTATCTTTATTAAAGGAAAAAGACCAAAAAAGAACCCTTCTTTTAAAGAGTTATTAAATCCATCATATTTTAATGCTGAGCTGAGATCTCCCTCTCAAGCCCTGCTGTCTGTGCCCCTGCCTTCAGAGGTGAGGTGGGTAGCGAATAGGACACAGCATGAAACCACCTACTACTGAGTCAGACAGTTGGTCGATCAAGATCAGTCTTGTCTAATCAAACTAGCAGAAGCTCTCCAAGGCCTCAGGACAGGTCTTTCACATCATTTACTATTAGATCCTTTTAAACTGGAAATGCCGGGGATTGAAACTGAGATCTTCTGCATGCAAAGCAGACACTCTCCTCTCGAATGATCCGTCTCCCACACGATACAGATGCTCTCCTCCCATATGATTATCTCCTCCCATATGATCCATCTCACCAGCTGAGATCTCCCTCTCAAGCCCTGCTGTCTGTGCCCCTGCCTTCAGAGGTGAGGTGGGTAGCGAATAGGACATTTTCTATGGTGGCCCCTCCCCTTTGGAATGCCCTCCCCCTGGAGGATCCCCTGGCACCTTCTTGACTTTTGTTAGGCACCAGGTTAAAACACTTAAAAAAAAACCCCAGTCTTTTCATTATGTTTTATGGACAAGTCTTTTGCTGCTGATTTCTAACAGCTTGTGTTTTTGTAATGGCTTGTGTTTTATATTGTGGTTTTTAATTGTAAGCTCCCCTGAGCAGGACTCTGAAGTTGATAGATAGATAGATAGACAGACAGACAGACAGACAGACAGACAGACAGACAAAGACAAAGACAAAGACATCCTGGAGCTCCAAGGATCACCATCAAGCCTCCGCCTAGGACATGGGCTTCAGCTAGGTTGCCAACCTCCAGGTGAGGCCTGGGGATCTCCCACTATTACAATTGATCTCCCGTAGACAGAGACCAATTCCCCTGAATAAAATGGCTACGTTGGAGGATAGACTCCATGGCATCAATACCCTTCTGAGGCCCCTCTCCCCCCCAAACCCCACCCTTCCCAGGCTTCACCCCCCCCAAAAAAATCTCCAGATATTTCCCCACCCAGAGCTGGCAACAGCAGATTATTTATTTATTTATTTATTAAATTGGATTTCTTGGCTGTCCTTCCCTGCGAGCCAGGGTCAGGGCAGCTTACAACAGGACAAAGGCATTAAATAATACAAGTTAAAATCAAATTTAAAATACCTATGACATATCGACAACTAAAACAATGCACTTCCCAAGATGACGAAAGAAAAGGTTTTTCCAGAGGCTGCCTGGGGGGAGGGGTAGCAGAGTGTGGGAGGGGTAGGAGAGTGCCAGATTTCACACTGTCCCAGGGCTGTCCTCAACTAAATGTCTGGTAGAACATCTCTGC